GTTTGGAACAGGTCCCATATGAAGAGAGGCTAAAAAGACTGGGACTTTTCAGCTTAGAAAAGAGGAGACTGAGGGGGGATATGATAGAGGTCTATAAAATCATGAGTGGTGTGGAGAGGGTGCATAAAGGAAAGTTCTTCATTAGTTCACTAGTTCGAATTAAGTGGCTACACAGCCCTTAATTCGAACTACTTAATTCGAACTAGGCGTTAGTCCTCGTGGAATGAGGTTTACCTAGTTCGAATTAAGCGCTCCGCTAGTTCGAATTAAGTTCGAACTAGAGGTTTGCCTGTGTAGCGCCTATCAAAGTTAATTCGAACTAACGTCTGTCAGTTCGAATTAACTTTGTAGTGTAGACATACCCCATCTCTAGAGGTTTCTAGGTCCCGGCTTGACAAAGCTCTGGCTGGGATGATTTAGTTGGGTTTGGTCTTGCCTTTGGCAGAGGGCAGGATTCGATGGCCCCCTGAGGTCTCTTCTAACCCTGTGATTCTATGAAGTGAAGTGTTTATTAATCACCAAGTATCAGGAGCGGCCCGAGGCCAGCTGTGGCAGCTGGTGCCCCAGGTGGAAGGCGCGATCGGCGCCCCCCCCCGCACGGCCGTCAATGGCCACGATGTAATCATCGGGCGCCTAGGCTCACAGGCCACCCCTGTCAAGTATTACATAAATTTAAGGAGGAACAATACAATAATTATCAAAAAAATTCATTATAATTGCTTATTTCCTCCTGGGTATTAAAATCTTAGACATTTACAAATGTTGCTATATTTCACAATTAAAGGAACTGCCATTGGATTAACAGTAACCTCTTTCATAAATAAGCAGTGGCTGTAAAAATGTTTATTGTGAAAAAGTTTGAAATGAAGCTCCTTTCGGGATCTAATGTACTGTATTTTTGGCAAGGTCAGTCCGGCCGAAGAACAGCCGTGATTTGTTACCAAAAAACTGTTCCAGGGAAAGGTTACCTATAAAAAAGGTCTATAGGAAGAATCAACATTACTAGTCCTGTTAAGAACAACTAATGACAAACGGTATACATTAGAGCAGTGTTTCTTAAACTTTTTAAGACTGAGGAACACCAAGGATTTTTTTGTTTTTGTCGAGGAGGAGGGGGGGAGAAAAAAAAGAGCCCTTAGGGAAAATTTGTGGAACAACAAAAACAACCCCAACCCAGTGGACCTGGGAGACTTGGGGGTCAAAATGCGTCACAGCTTCCCCAGAAAGACTGCCCTAATAACAGTCTGAAAATTAGACCACAAAAAAGTAAGGATTATAATAAACAAATGCTAAATAAGGTCATGTGGCTGGCCAGGAGGGAGGGTGTCTGGCCAGGAGGGAGGGTGCAGGAGGGAACTTGGGGCAGGGTGTAAGAGCAAGCTGGGAATGAGGGGTCTTGGCAGGCAGAGGAGAATGAGGGGGTTTGGATGCGGGGTCTGGGCATGAGGGGGGACGCTTACCTGGCTTCACACCCTGCTGCAGCAGGGAAAGCCTCCAGGGAGCATGCTCTTGTTCCTTTGCGGGGGTGTGGGGGCCGGAGAGCTTAGTTCCCCTTTCCCCCTCCCCCACCCATGCAGCGGGGAACCCAGCACAGCTGCAGCACCAGGCCAGGCTTCCCGCTGTGGGAGGAGAAATAGAAACCCCGACCGTCCCCGCCAGATTAAACTCTGCCACTTCCCGAGCAGGCTGGGCAGGGGTGCAGGGGAGAGAGAGCAGTAGCACATGGGGGGCAGCAGAGCTCAAGTGCGCCCCAGGTGGGATGAGGGGGCAAAGCTTGAGCCGCGTTCCCTGCAGAGGTCCCGGAGCGGACCTCCTCAGCTCCAGCCACCCCTCCCACTCCCAGCAGCAGCGGACGCTGTAAAAGCCGCCGCCTGCACATGTGGAAGAGGCTGCGCAGCAGTGGAGGCCCCATGGGACAGGGGCCGTCCTGCAGGCTGGGGTGGGAGGAGAGGCAGCCGCAGTGGGAGCTGTCTACGGGCTCTGCAGGAGAGTAGAATTTTTTCTGTTCTCTCCGCAGCACACCTCTGACTGCATCGCAGCACACCGTGTGCCGCAGAACACACTTTAAGAAACGCTGTTGTAAAAGATGTTCTCTAGTTCAAACAGAAATTTACTTAATAAAATCCTATGTCCTTTATTATGCATAAGATCTATACGATTACAGTGGTCCCTTTTGACCTCAAATATGAAAATATGGTCTCAATCCTGAAGTTCCTATGCAGGCAAAAATGCCTTTGAAGTCAGTGGGAGTTTTTCCTGCAAGAGTACTGCAGAAATAAACCCCGTAACGAACATACTTGAAGAAACGCTGCATTACAGCGTAGGTTCCCAAACGGGGGGGCATGCCCCCCTGGGGGGCGTGAAGAAATTCCAGGAGGGGTGCGAGGCAACTCAGCCCCCCCTCCTCAATCCCTCCCCCAAGAAGGAGCCCAGTCCGTCCAGTGAACAAATTCAGAAAATACAGGACATGTGGAATGTCGGGTATTTTCTGTTTTTCCTGGCTTGGGCATCCACCAGAACACGCGCAGCTCGGGCTGGCTGGGGCGGGGAGAGGATGGAGCATCCCAGGCAGACTTCAAAATGGCCACCTTAAAAGGGCAATGCCTGCTCTTAAAAGGGCAAACTTTTTTTTTTTTCGCTCAACAAGTTTTGCTGCTATTTTTGGGTGGGGGTGTGAGGGTTTCTCAAAAATAAAAAAGGGGGTATGATGCCGAAAAGTTTGGGAACCACTACTGCATTAGAGGGACAGTTTGTCTCTGCAAGCTACCCATGCTCACAGCTCCCATTGACCAACTCCTGGCCAATGGGAGCTGTGAGGACAATGCCAGAGGGAGGGGCAGAGCATGGAGAGATGCTGTCCCTTTTCCTCAAGGGGAACAAAGAGAAAAGCCTGGAACCAGCTGATTCTGGAAGCGGCATGGGACCACGGGAGGCAGGCAGCCTGTTTGAGCCCTGCTGTGCTGCTGGCCAGGAGCTGTTTATAATAAGTGCCTCCCAGCTGCAGCCTGCTCTTCATACATCCCTTGTACTTTTGTCCAGCCATGTCTCCACTCCCAGAGCCTGCACTGCACACCACCACCTGCACCCCAACCTGGGCAGAGGGCCCCCTCCTAGAACCATCACCCACTCCTGCACCCCACACTCTGCCCCAGCCTGGAATCCCCTCCTGCTGTCAAACTGACTCTCAGAGCTTGCACCCCGAACTCCTTCCCACACTCGAACCCCTCAGCTCTGGCCCAGAGCCCACACCTCCTGCCCCAGCCCAGTGAAAGGGCGTGAGAGTGGAGGACAGCAAGTGATGGAAAGAGGGGGGGAATGGAGTTGGGAAGGGAAAGGGTAGATCCTGGGTTACCCTGCAATTGAAAAAGTGATCTTTGGTATAGAAAGGCTGGAGACCACAGACACACAGGGATCTGAGGGTATGTCTACACTACCACCCTAGTTCGAACTAGGGTGGTATGCCCGCGGGTACACGTGGCACGGAGTAGGTAGTTCGAATTAGGCTTTCTAATTTGAACTACCGTTCCACCTCGTTCCATGAGGAGTAATGGTAGTTTGAATTAGAAAGGCTAATTCGAACTACCTACTCCGTTCTGCGTGTAGCCGCGGGCACGGAGTCCGAACTACCGGGGATTTAAAAAAGGCGGCGCCCAGCAATATGCAAACGAAGCCCGGGATATTTAAATCCTGGGCTTCATTTGCAACTTCGATCGACTACATTAACCACCCTAGTTCAAACTAGGGTGGTAGTGTAGACATACCCTGAGATATCTCCATTTTGCCTCTTTCCTTCCCTAATTATCTAGAATGGGAATTTATAGCTGAGCTCTGAACGGAGCACCGTCCAATGATTTGGAAGTTACAAGGCAGACTCCACAAGCCAGAGCCTACTCCACTACTGCGACAAACCTGACAAAGACTTTACAAATATTTGTGTGTATGTGATCTATGAGCCATTTATAACTCTCCTTTGATTAATACAGCTTTCGTTTTTTTCCCAAGGATTGGCTGACCACATGGTATTTGGGTGAGATTCATATTGATCTGGGGATGCGTCTCATCGCTTGGGATTAGAAAGAACCTCACAACTGGGTTTTCAGTAACCCCGCACTGTACTGATTGGGTTTCCTGGCTGGGAGCCAAGCACTGGAACGCCTAACGGGGAGTTAATTTGACTTCCAGTTAACCAGTGTGCTACTGCAGAAGATCTTTTGTTACTACACTGATTAATCTAATTTTAGAATAAACCACCAGTGCCAGAGGACTGTCTGCCCTATGTCGTGTCGTCTGCCTTGCATGTGGGCATTCTTGGGGTGGCCCTTCCAGGAATCCAAACACGCTCACCACTGTAACAAAATTTTAACCTGGCAAATATGCAGAGCAAATATTTGTGAAATTGGCAGAGGTTTTACAAAAATAGGAGCATTTTGAACTAAATTACTTTACACTCAATTCTGTATTTTTAAATAAAGGAATGGCAGTCTGTATTGGAGCTTTGTAAGTGTTTGTAGCTGCAAACCAAAAAATGCAAAAGAATACAAATCACAGTGAATCATGACATTTCACAATGTCAGTTTTGCATGGCTCCTTCACCTGAGCAATGATACGTTGCAACGTCTTGCGATCCAGTGACACTGATTTAGCAAATTTCCTGAAGGAGTGGCACCTGCAGTGCATATCCTATGTATGGTTACTGCTAGAAGAGTTCTTGTTAAAGTATTTCCTTGCCTCAATATTGCTGAGGGACACAGAACAGCGGGATGGATTCTGTCTTCTGTAGTCAATGCTCTCCACCACTGCTTGCTTGATCACCTGTAAAATAGAGACAAACAATGTATATTAAGGCCATTCTTTGAACTGGCACTGACCGTGGTTCTTTAACTCTTGGCAAAAAGCCACATCAGAATGAAGAAGTGGGTTTTGCCCATGACAGCTCATGATTTTATAATATATACATATATATATATATATATATATATATATATATATATATATATATATATATATATATATATATATATATATATATATATATATATATATATATATATATATATATATATATATATATATATATATATATATATATATATATATATATATATATATATATATATATATATATATATATATATATATATATATATATATATATATATATATATATATATATATATATATATATATTGTTAACCTCTAAGGTGCCACAGGATTACTCGTTTTTAACATTACAGACTAACACGGCTACCACTCTGAGACATCAGAATGTATCATTATTGCTTCCGTTACCAGAACCAAGCTAGTACGGCAGAGAAGAAAGGCTTTAAAAAAAGATAAACTGTTGAGATTTTTTAATAAAGAACATTGCTCCCCCTCCCAAGAAGGAACTCTACCTTCTTTTCAAGCTCTTATTGTCAGTTTGTAGTTTGCTTGTTTTTTTAAACAGCGGCATCTGATAAAATAGTTACAACAGGAAAGGTTGAAGAATTTGGAAATGAAAAGGCTGCATAATATGGTAGTTTATTATCCTAATACAGTGGCGGGGGGGGAGACTTGACAAAAACACTGAGGAAGTTTCTTACTTTGGGGCTCCATCCTAATAACTGACAACGGAAGAAGTTAGTATGTCCCAAGTACAAAGTCAGGAACTATTTTGTCGATTAATACCTAGGTCATCCCACCTCTACCCTCATTTGGTCACACACTAAGCCCAGGTCTACACTAGTGGATAAAGTCAAAGTAAGATACACAACTCCAGTATGTGAATAGCAGTAGCTGGAGTCGACGTACCTTTGTTCCACAGCATCTCCTTTATAGCAGGTTGATGGGAGTAATTTTCCCAATGACTTCCCTTACTCCTCACCACCAAGTGGGGTACTACAGTTGACAGAGGCACAATCAGTGATTGATTTAGTGGGTCTTTGCTAGACCCGCTAAATCGACTCCTGGGAGATCTTCGCAGCATCAATCTTCTGGTAAATGGAGAAAAGAGCTAAAAGTCCCATATACCCTTGGGACTATGTTTTGGTCAAAAATACAACAACAAACTTAATGGCTGTGCAAACCCAACAGGGCTTACTAGTCAACAGCGGAATAGCCAGGACTGTCAGTAAAGAACGGTAAAGTTGGGGCAAATGTCCCATCTCAATTTAAAAAACAAATGAATGTATGTTGAAAGAGGACATTTGCCATGATACGCAAGAATCTGGAGAGACAAAAATGTCAGGTTTCTTTTGACTCTATATATCACTGCAAACTAAGTATTCAATCTGCGAAAAAAGGGAAGATTAGAACAGCAGCAGCTTAAAAGAAGAGAGAAAGCTAAATTCATCTACTTGATTTCATACTCTCTGGATGATCTAAAGAGCAGGTCTGCTCTGCTACCTGAATTAGTTGAAGAACCTTGTGAATACGTCATGTAAACTTTTCTCAACACCTATTTGAAGACCAGTGCTCCTGGGTATTCAGTTCTGCTGAGTAGATAATCTTGTTATGAAATAATGATCTAGGCCATCTATAGAAAAATATACAGTACAGAAGTGAAGAGAACGTCTTTAAAATGTTTATGTAAATATCCTAATTCTTTGATGTGATCAGTAAAATGCAATATAGCCGCTAGGTGGCAAACTTTGATCATGTACTTACAAGGATCTGAAATTTGCAGCAGAAAATATTTATAGCTGGTGAGTTAAATTGCTAGAACAAAAATATACTTGGGCTCTGTATCTGATCTTGTTTAAATTAATGTAAATCAGGTGTCATGACTGAAGTAAATGGAGAAAAGTCTCAGAGTGGTAATTGTGTTAGTTTATATCTGCAAAAAAATGAGGAGTCTTGTGGCACTTTAGGTGGTATCTAGATTGCAGAGTTTTTCAGGAATACTGGAGGTATCCTGGAAAAACTCTGCCGTGTCCAGGGAATGTATCTGCTTTTTCAGATCAGTTTCTGAAAAAAAAAACGGGTGCAATCTTTCAGAAGCCCCGTATTCCTCATTTTATGCTTTGGTCAAAAATACAACAAACCTCATTTTATGAGGAATAAGGGCTCTTCGAAAAGAGGAGGTTTTTCCAATATTTGGCCCTATGTAGATGGGCCAAATGTCAGAAAAGCCTCTGCAGAAAAAACAAGTGGAAAAAGGTATGCAAATAGCGGTTTGCAATTTACGCTATCTTTTTCCAAAAAACCCCGGCAGTATAGACATAGCCTTAGAGTCTCAGGGATTTTAGGGCTTATACTTTTGTGGGTAAAACCCATTTTATCAGATGAATTGGAGTGGAAACTGGAGTGGGAGCTTGGAATATATCTCATAGACGAAGGCCATCTGGTCCCCAGCAGCCCCCTCCTTCACATTGAACGCCCCCTTTGGATGATTGAGTTGGGGTCGGTCCTGCGTTGGACAGGGAGATGGACTCAATGACCTCCTGAGGTCTCTTCCAGCCCTAGGATTCTATTATTCATTTTTGTCTCTATCCCAGAGGCAAGGTGGCACCACAAAATCTACCAGCCCCAGAAGAGTTAATCCAAACTCCGACCCCCCAAAAGGTCCCAGGGTTTCCCCTTCCCTACTTCCCCCCAACCCGGATTAGATAATAATGCTTCTGAAAGGGATCTGGGATTATAAACTATGGAATAGGTTTACAAGAGAGGCTGTAGAATTCCAGAAGCCTCAGGGGTAGCTGAGTTAGTCTGTACAGGATAAACTTAAAAAACAACAAATGGTCTGGTAGCACTTTATAGATTAGCAAAACATGTAGATGGGATCATGAGTTTTAAAACTCTGGTCATTTGAAGAAGTGGGCTGTGCCCATGAAAGCTCATGATACCATTTACATGGTTTGTTAGTCTATAAAGTGCTACCGGACCATTTGTTGTAGAATCCCAGTCATTGGATGTTTTTAACAGGTTGGGCAAACACCTGCCAAGATGGTCTAGGCCTCCGCACAGTGGACAGGATTTAATAACTACTCAAAATACCTTCCAACCCTGTATTTCTATGGTTCTAGAGTTCCTGAAACATTCTTTGGCTGTTTTTTTTCAATGGAAAATATCTTGTAATTTCCGCAGCATGATTACCTCGATAATTAGAGTTACAGAAAGAGATTATCATGCATGACTATATTTACAGCAACTCTGGAATTCCAGACTTTTAAGAACAGATGCCAAAAGAAAGGGCAACATTCTCTCCCTGAATCTCATGGCTCCCCT